TGGTTAAAGCCCTAAAACTGAAAAGAGACAATCACAAGAGGGCTAATCCCACTTGAGTCTTGTAGAATTCTGAGGCTCGCAAATCCTTAACTGTAAGTCATAGAACAACTGTGAAAACACAGGATTTCATGTTAGAGGAGCCATCACTGGAATCTCTCTGGAATGCCACTGCAAGACACACAGAAATGGACTCAAGCAGGGCAATTTCATCGTGTTTCAAACATACAAAGAAATGTGATCATGAATTTTACACATATATCTAACTCATAAGATGTTTCCTAAAAAAAAAAAAGCCTATGGAAAATACTTGAATATAGCCTTAGTGCTGTAAAAATCTTCTGTGAAAGGGCTGGGAGACCATGATTAGATTATTCCATCTCACTTGGCACAGCTCAAACTAATAGTCATCTCTTTATTTGCACACATTTTACAATCCCAAAGCAAACTGTTTTCCAAGGTTTTGGCACTCATTTTTTCTCTGGGTCCCAGCTCTCCCAAGCTCTAAACATGAAGGGGACTCCCTAATTCACAGAAGAGTACTTGATGACTCTGACAAGAGATTGGACTGTTTGGGAGAATGGGGATTGGGAGAGGAAAGAGATGATTTCTGCTTGGGTCCATGGTGTCTGACAGTGCAGTGCAAGTCGGTTCTGTGTAATGGTCTGTAGTTTGGGAGAAGATTCCTAGGAAGCACTGCCTATCTCCTAATTTGCGCAAACACTCAGAACTGTAGCAGCTCCCTGGGAAATCCAGAGCCTGGAATGCAGGGCTTGATTGATAGGACTGAATTCTATCGTGCTTGGAGCACTGTGAAGAGTACTTGATAAAGTTTTTAATGAAAATTTTTGTTTCAGCACCTTCCACTTCCAGGGGCAGTCATATTCCTGAAACGTGGGTATTTTAGCACAGGAATGATAGAAACCCAATAGGAAACTGTAAACAAAGGGTGTGTATCCTAGATTTGCCTTTGAGGGTGATGATACCTGGGGGATTTGCTCATCTCCCACTTCATCAATTGATTCCAGCAAGGTGTGCTGAGTTACAAAATTTCAAACACCCTGAAGTTCTTGAATGAAAATGGACAAAGATATAAAGTCACATAGGTTTTCTTTGATTTTATTAGCACACATCAGAAAAAAATAGCATTGTATTTAGTGATCTCTCAGGAAGATCTATCAGATAGAAAAGAGATCTTGATAGCTGCCACTGTGTTTCTGGGTTGCCTGAAGTCATTGTTTTTGTTTATTCACTTCAAGTATGGGGGTTACACATAGGATCTGCTGTGTTAATTGTAAATCTGAATGCTTTGGAAGCACATTGTAATCCCCATATGAGCTGTGCAAAGTCATAATCAGCTATTGGTTTCGTCTTTCATAACCAGGCTTTGAACACTGCTCATGTTATACATGACATTCTCTAAAAGATCACCATTGTTATTGTGAGGCATATGCCTGCAATTAAAGTGAGAAAGTTCACTTTCAAGTACACTTTGTGGTGAAAAGTGGTTTGTCCTGGGTAGAACTGTACAAAGCTGTGCCAATCTGAAGAAGGACGGACCCTTCTGTCCCCACTGCACAGGTTTCTCCCTCCACGGGAACTGAAGATGATCTGAATTTCCATTTTAGACATGTTGGTTGGATTCCAAGAGAGATTTGGGATTAGCTGGTGTTCAGATCATTGTTACTCCAGATTAATTTTCAAATTCTGCTTCCTGAACTTGAGTTTCCCCAACATTAGAAAAGCAGCACTGTTATTTCTTTTTATTTATTTACCCAGCTAGTCAGTCCCCTTTTAACCTTTTCACCCGTCTTTTAGTTCATGGCACCTTCCCCACTTTTTATATGGACATTAAGGTCCCCTGAGATGCACAAAGGATAGAAAATGGAGTACAAATTATTTGGCCGAAGCGTGGAATACACAGCCCAGCTCTTGTCATCAAAAATGAGGTTTGGGTTTGATAGGGTAGCATATGAGTGAAGCTGGGGAGACCCAAAGTGCTTCAAAATTGGCCAAATTTCTTGTGTGTCATCTATGACTGAAAATCTAGAATTCACATCAGATTTCCAAGGAGAATGTAGTTTGTCAAACTATGTAAATCAGCTGGCTCTTTGACAGAGAGACCTTTCATCAAGAATAGAAAAGAAGAAGGGGAAAGAAGAGTTTTTAGACTTCTGTTCATTCAAAACAAAAATCAAGTGAGCTTAAGGGAGAAGAGAAATGAACATGGGATTACATCTGAAAGCCAAATGTTGTAAAAGAAAACCATGGCAATGAAAAAGCCATGAGTCCACAGGGCCAATCACAAACACACACACAGAACGCCATGGCCTAACATTGAAGAAAGGTTTCAACTTCGCTTTTCTGAACAATACACTGGAAACGCACTGCTGCCATCTCATCAAATTTATGGAGGTAGTTATATGTAAAAATAAAAATTACCATAAAGCAATATGCTGTATCATCATAATACATAAGTGTGCAAAATGCCGACAGATGTGTTGACCCTTTCGAGTTGAACGCTACACAGAGATTCAACCAGATTCAGTTCTGTAAACCTTTCAATCGATAAGCAGTCCCATAACAGGAAACTGCAGTTTCACTGGAGGAAAAGGATATTGGCAAAGCTTGGAGAGGGCTTGAGAGTTTGGGCCCTGGAAGCCTCACAGATCACCCCTCCTCCATTAAAGAATCCTGTTAGAATCAGGTGGGAGTATTTCTACTTTGTACATCTATATTTGAAGTCCATATTTTCTAGGCTAATAGCTGCTGGTCGTAAGGAGGCTGTGTTTTTGTATCATATACCTCACTTCATCAAGCAAATAGTTTACACATCTTATTTGAATATCTTCTGTAAACCTATTTCTTGTGAAATATTAACTCCTATTGCCAAGCTTTTCTTAAAGCTAACGTCTTTTTCTGTTTGCACAGCATTTGATTATTACAGTGGCTACTTTCAAAGATCAACTGGAGGCAGGGTGTTGTTGCAATGGTTACATTATTTATGAACTGAAAGTATCATAAACATTGGAGATGTTTTTGGCAAAAAAAATTGGCTTTGGACGGAAAATTTTAGTAATTGTCTGGTATACAATTCATCAAGGAAACAGACTATATGGTCCCTTAGATACATTATTATTCCTTCCAGGCATATTTAAATAATGAGACAAACAATGCATTTATGAGCCATTGGGGCATGCCTTTTAGCAAATAAGGTATGAACTAATGCCAAATGGATTCAGCATTTCAATAGTGTGGGAGCTTACCAGCAAAGAGCTTAAGTTACACCCTCATAAGCACAAAAATGAATTTATGCCCAACTGGGGGAGTCCAGTTTGATCCAATGCACTTCCAAATACCTGAAAAAGCATGGAGAGTAAGTACTGAAATGCTTTAGGAGTTAGTCCAGCTAAGTATGTATTTTTATCTTTTGAGCACACTGCTAGTGAGGAAATTTAATATGGAAGCAGAGGTGTCTCACAAATTTTGTACCAGTTATTGAAATCTGAAGTGAAAATATTTTAGATGTGTGTGTGTTTATGTGTGTGTGGTGTATGGCTTCAACCAGCTCATGTCACTTAACTAAATAAAACCTTATGTCAGACCATTGACTTCTATCATAGGTAACCCATTTGCAAATCATTTCCCACTGTCTACAGAGTTTGTTCATTGTTGTCAGAAAATAAAACACTGGAACTTTGAAATGTCACTTTTCTAGGATACTGAAGTTTTATTATTATTATTTGATCCCTCTGCTGCCTGGTGTTTGTATTCTACACGACAACTGTCAACTAAAGCAAAACGTTAAGAAAGCCCTTTGAAATAACTCAGGCTAGTTGAGTATATATCCACCTAAAATGCCTCCCAAAACTGGTGACAAACTATCTGTAAACATTACTCCAGCACAGTTCATATATGCATAATTGTTATTCTGATAAATTTTAGGGGAATACAAATTATGGTTATATCATACTAGCAGAATGAGCACATTCTGCTTTTCATTACATGGGCACATGTATATTTCTAATCAAAAATTACTTTAAAAGTTTTCTTTATAGATATCTTCCCAGGAATAAAAGGCCTGACATTCAACTCTCTCTAAATTTGCTCTTTTCTTATAATCAACTAAAAATGATCTCCCACCGCCTAATTTAGGCATTCCATTTAAAATTACATAAAATAGATTTCTGTCCTTCCATTAGAAAGAATAGCATCCTCAGGCCATACTCTTCATTTGTATCACAAAACAAAATTTTTTTTTTTGCTTTTAAACAAACTAATTATTGTATCTAGTATCGTAAGATAGGATCATCATAAGAATCACAGGGAGGAAATGATCTTCCTTCGACAAGTCCACATGGCCTCTGCCAGCACTCAGTGCTGTTCCCTAGCCCATCTGCAATTCCCTTCCTTTGTTCACTTCAGATTCAAAGGCCTGTCTGTGACCAGGGATGATTACAATGTCAGACAAGCATCCATTACCATATGAAAAACAAAATCCTGAAAGCAAACACTCCCAGCATTTCCTTCGTGACCCCTTCTGACACACTTCCAGAGGCTCTTACCAAATAGTGTCATGGAAACTCACAGTGAAAAATTATTGGTGCATTAACAATTCACACACAGAGAGGGCAGTGGTCCCTTCTCATCAGTTTGGCATTGATTTTTTTTCCCCCAAGGTAGATCCTTGCATTTGACATTTTGTGGTGGCTTGGTTTCTTATTTTTTCTGTTTTGTTTTTGGAAGTGTCGAGGATCAATTCTGTGATGCCATTTAACCACAAACTGGGAGCAACACTCATCTGTGGCATTTTAATACAGAATTGGCAACTGCATGACATTGAAAATGCATATTACACTTACAGTGTCTAGACTTTCCTATGTGTGCTCAGATATGGTTAGTGAAACAAAAGTATACATATCACCCCTACTGCTATTTGATTGCTACAGAGCCAAAAATGTGAAAAGCAATACTTTGAAACAAAGATTTTTTTTTTTTTTTTGCCCTAGCCTACTTAGCAGCACAGTTTAAGTAAACACAAAAACTGTGGTTGAGATGCTTGTCTTTCCAAAGATGTAAACATCAGTCCCAGTGTCGTAAACTTTGCTGTATCGAATGAGACAGAAGATCTGAGGCAGAATGACTATCACACACTCGTCACAGAAGCTTGCAAGCAGTTGGAAGGTTTCTGCAGTTTCTCAGCTTCGTTGCTTGGGGGGTCCGTACTTGCTCGGAAGTTGAAGGCTGGCCCAGCTCCGCCATGGGCTGGACTCAAAGCCGGGTTCTGACGACGGTTACTTTCCACAATGCTGGATGTGTTGGAAGCCAGGCTCTCCCGAGTACTACAAGAGTAAAAAGGTTTGATTTTGTTTTTGCTTCGAACATAAATAATTATAGAATGTACCCCAGAGGAAGAGCAAGTGAGGTAGTTAATGGATTTTCTCTGTGGGTTCCTGAGGTCCTGCCAATAAACATCTGAACTTTTTATTCACACATAACATAGGCTCAACAAGACATGTCATCATGGGCAGCATGCTAATGGGGAAGGGGTTCCTGAACAGCCATGTGCTCTTGGAAATGTCCCCCCTCCTTTCTGCATTCAAGGAAACAACTTTAAAAGCATGACAACAGAAACTGCTACCACCTTAATGTAAGACTGAACATTCATATATATGTTTATATAATGATTTCAGTTCTGATAGGAAATTCATGGGCAAAACTGCTCTAGAATAAACTCAGTAATTTTACCGTAATGGTTCTCTCATTCTTGATCAGCAGATTTTGACTTGGGTGGTATAGCTAACTCACTACACTGATTGGAAACAGAATCCTTTAAAACACTTCCTACTTATGCTTCAAATTTCAGCATCTTAATTCTAGTATGTTTTATTTTCAGATAAAAGATGTTACCCATTCATTTGGGAAGTTTACATACATTTTTGTCCCTCTGGTAGGTATATTTTTTTAAAGGAGTCTCATTATTTCAATTTATCTTTTAATTTTTCTAAATGAGAAGCAATTGACTCTTTTATTGCTTTAATATATTTAGTCAGTTTAATATTTCAAATGTGTAAGGCAACTGCAGAAGTAAGATTGTTGAACCTGACTGAGGGAGAGCAGTCAAGTTCTACAATGTAACTATAACAAAGTTCTTAGTTTACATAGAAATTGGGGAAGCCATACTTATTCTCAAAGCATCTATCTGACCAAGTAAATTCAAAGTTCAAAAAAATATCCTAGGAGAATTGGTCCCCATAACTGATTTAAGCCAATCAACCAAATTACCTCTTAGGCCAAACTTCCAAAATGGAGACATTCTCTCCCCTTCTCCTTCATTCCCATGCTAAACTGAGCATCTGAGGCTGAATCCTATACCTTGGCAGCCCTTTCTATCGGGTTATTAAAGCCTAATCCTTTGTGCCCCAAGTTTGCTTCTGACCAAGCAGCCAAGATTAAGAGTTAATGGCTTAAAAGGTAATTTGTTCGCTGGACCTTCCTTGAACGTAGATGGCTCCTTTCAGAAGGTTTATACATTCAGAGAGACAAGTTCTGTCCTGATGTTTATAGCACATCTACAGAGTGCTCCAAAGTTTCATCACTTACCTACTGATCTGCCTGACACCGTCCCCCCAAAATTTCATCAGTGGCTTGCCTGCCATTACTGAGCACGCAATCAGATGGAGGAAGGAGGGAGGGCAATAAACTTGGAGCAGCCTAAAGATTTCATGATACATTTCTTCAGTTTCATTCTTAATCATGCTAGTAACTTTTTATACTATTTGATTTCCTCATCTCTGTAACAGCGGGAGTTAGGTTGTGATTTATCTACTTACAGAGTGACTATAAAGAAGAAATAAGCATCAGGAAAGCACTTGCAAACTAAAAGCATAGGAAATTTTAAGTTACTTGTGTTATACATCTAACATGTACTAATACATTAAGCAGATACTATGGACTGGCTTAGGAATCTAGTCATTATGAATGACATCTTTTTTATATGCAATTTTATGGTCCAAGGAATTTACTTTTAGAAGAGCTTTTGAGGAACAGGCTTAGCGGTTGCTAAATACCTACTGTATGAAAGGTATTGTAAACATCTACCAATACGACTGATCATTTAAGTCTGGAGCCGCCCCTGTTGCCGATGCTTTCAACCACAACCAACATACTAATAATTATAAACACACAAACAATATTCCTATGCGTCCAAAGAACGCATTTCATTGTTGCTGTAATAATGAGCATGATCTGTGCCTGCATATAGAGGGCTCTGGATATGATAATGAAAAAGTTAACAGCAGTGCCTTTTCACCAGTAAGAAATATTCCTCAGATTTGAACATCTTTTTGAAAGAGTATTAACAAAATAAAACCTTAAAAATAATTCCAGGTTTTTAAAATCAGTATATATGAAACAAGCAGCTGAACTTTTCATTCTTTTGTATGTGTGTGTTTCTCTGAACTCAGACCTGTACACAGCAAAAATACATCCCCAGAAGCCTTTGAGTTTCTGATTCATGGCCTCAGATTTCAGACAGCAGGCTTCTCATGTCAAGATTTTTCATTTCCAACCTTAGCTCTCATCACCTAGTCCATGTTTCTACCCTTTTTATGGTCCAATGTCCTTTAGCTTCCAACAAATGAGACTGAAGAATTTTGTAAATGTGGCTGAACATGAATTCTGAGCCAGCTTTGAAATCTTGGTGTCATGAAAATCACTTCCTCTAATTTACCCTTAGTTGCTTAGAAAACTACTTACTGAAAGATCCAAAAGAATGGCCTGCATGAGATCCCCACGTCTCATAGCAATGGGAAGATTTACCACATGGCAGTGTTTTCTGAAAAAAATTCTATTCACGCAAGGGAGTGACTCTGTAAGTCAAATATCAACTTTTGTAGAACATCCTCATGCAGTAAAAACGCAACCTAACAGATTTACTGAGGTGCACAGAGAACAAGTTCATCATCTGGCAAACCAAATGACATTAACTATGCAAGGGTGAAACTGACTTGTTCTGCAGATTCTTTAACAGCATGAAATTTACAGGTGACCCACGTGTTCCTAAAGAAAATTCCACCTAGTATTAGTAAACAGACATTTGGTTACTGTGTGAAGCTTGTCTCCTTAGTCACCATGTAGCACGACAAAACATAAAAGAAATAAACTTACTTCAAGAACAATTCCAGTCATAAACTCTAGATTCTGAACTTCAAATGTTGAGATAATAAACTATATACTGGGGATTGGAGGTACTAGTTAAAATAGTTCATGATCATTTGTTTGCCCTCAAACAAACAAATTTTTGATATGCACAATGCAATGATGAGCTCTGAATTAGAAGCCACTGAACTACTCCCAACGTCTCAATGTCTCCTTAGCAACTATGCGTGGAGTTTTGAAGCGTTCCATCTGTGAAACTTGAGGGACCAAGAGGAAGATGTGAGAGGCTGGAAATTGTCGAGTGGAAAACTTTCAGCATGTTGTATCCATACAGCAACAAGAAATAAGAGAATATAAAGATACAGGCAAATTAACCAATGGCTTCCACAGGCAACACATGTCAACTTTTCCCATGGTTACAGACCTTCAATTATGCTTATCTGGTATGCAGAACTAAGAATTCTACAGAAAAATGGGAGTAGAACAGAACGAAAGGAACAAAAAGGATAGATAAGCTAGGAGATAAATCAAGATTCAGTTTAGGATTAAAACTCACTGAAGTGAAGCAAAAAACGAATTTCTTAGGAAAGTCACTTAATAGACCAATGGTTTTCAGACCGAGAGCTCCAGCTGCATGAGGTCATTTAGCTCACTAAGGGGCAGGCCTTAGAGGTCTTACAACCATTTTAACAAGAATATCAGACCTCTAAACATGTGTTAACTTGAAAAAAAATCACATGACCAAAAGCATCATCAACATCATCATCATCATCACCAAGAATTAATCTTTCAAGTAACAAAAACTCTAATGTGGGACAAAAAGATAAATGATTTCCAATTCTGGTTTTGAGATGCTCTGTCCCCAAATTACTTAGAGATAGGGCAGAACGATTTCACAAGAATAAATTTTAATAGGTAAGAATAAAAATAAATATACAACATGTATAGTCCTACTTTGGGTATTGTGACATCCTAGGAATCCCTGCTGATGAGATACATCAATCTCTCAGGAGTATTTCTGCATCTCAGAGTCACCAATCTGGAGTAGAATTTAGAAAGAGAAATAGGTCCCATGTTGTTTTTTGAGGAGAAGGGAAAGTTGAGGAGAAAACAGGAAGTTGCATAGAACTCTTGTCTGCGTTGTAAGCCCTCAGTAACTTCAGTGTTCTGGACCTCACCACGAGTGTTACATACTCTCAACTGTCAACTCTGCCGATTACTAATGACTAGTAACAAGAAGGAACGACGATCAGCACCTGAAAGGACTACGTCAATCCCATCGCAGGCAAAGTAAGAGTCCTGGTACATAGTGTGGACTGATGCAACACAGGGAGGTCCCTAAACTTGCTGTGAGCAGAACAAGTTCCCATTTCTCTGCAGACAGGTGGCCAGGGAGAGGGAGGAGTGTGCACAAGATAGGCTGCACAAAGAGGAGACACTAAAATGGCAACGAGCTTAAATCCACTGGGAAAGTTCTGAGCTTGCTATAATATTCTCATTCGAGGGACCCTCTCCCCAGCATTAATCGATTTACACCCAAAATCTATCCTTCACTGACTATTCCTTCTTTTCAACATGCTGCTAGTTTTGGAAGACATAAAAACCTTCTTTCTTAGCATGGTGGCAGTATGTATGCAGAAAAAAAAAACTACTGGAAAGTGTTGTGCTTAGACTACACTGAAACAAGTTTGAGGGGAGGGGCCAACCCACCAGTCCAGATTGGTGATCTCTACAGCTGCAGAAACCTTTTATTTTTCAATTCCTGAAAAAGAAGTCAGAAACAGATTGTTAACAACTCACACAGCTCTTCACCCTCGTTCACAGAACGAAGCCTGTGAAATCAGAAACTTTCCAAGTTATCCGCCTAGAGCCCCAGGCCCTGGGAGGTATGTGTGCGTATGTCTCCCTACCGTGGGGAGTTGAATCCACTGTCCACAGTGATGCTGCTGCTATCCATGCTGTCGAGCCGGGCCGAATGCGTGGCTCTCTGATTACTGCTGCTGTCTGTTTCTTTTGGGGCAAGGAGGGTGAGGTTCTTCTCAAATTTCCTCTGCAAGTCTCTTTCCTTCTCTCTCTCCAGGAGCCACTGCATGGTGCCTACATCATCCCTGTTTTTCTCCTCCTCTGTGGTTTTGTTGGCCCCTTCCTCTGAATCATCATCATCAGAGACATTGTAATAGTCAAAAGAGGCCTCCTGGTTGCCACCAGACTCCTGCTGACGCTGGGAAACCGGCAAGGCCTGTGCGGCCGAGGTCCCTAGGGAAGGCTCCAGTTTCTCACATCGGCCTGGCAGGGTGTCGGTAGGTGTCTTCGGGTGAGCTTTGAGGAGGGACAGGCTTGACTTGTGATAGCTGTTTACAGACAAGGTGCTGTGAAGAGGTTTGAACAGTGTGTCTTTGCTAAATATCTCTTTCCTCTTGTCCAGGCTGCTGGGTTCCGTGCTATGGTGCTGGGCGAGGCGTCCGTTGGCTAACCCTTCGGCCACGCCACCTGAAGCAGCCAGGCCCCCACCTGGCCCTTTTGGCGACTCCTCCTTGTGCCCCATCAGCTCCCTGGAGGAATGGGGGGCCTGCCTGTCAGAGGAAGACAGCTTCTTCACTCCTTCTGCCAGAGTCAGAGTGTCATGGTCCTCCTTATTCTTTCCCAGGGGAGAAGGGGCTGTGAGCACCGTCTCACTGGAGGTGTTGCACTGGAAATAGTCATCCGCAGCTGTTTTTGTTGGACAAGCACTGAGGTCCCCAAAGGATGGCAAACTCTCAGGTGGTTTGCCTGGCTCCAGAAGGCTACATGCACTGGAAGGCTCCTTGCTACCACCAACTATTTCTGGAATGCACACCTCTTTATAACTCGTGGACGACACATGAACCCTTTGGTGACCAACAGCTGGCGCGGGCCTTAAAGTACTGTCATCAATGTAGGACTGGCTGGGGGTCTGGTCATCTTGGCTACAGCCTTCAGCCAAGTCTTCCGGTGTCCCTAGGGACGAGGCACCCAATGGGCCTTTAGAGTTATCCATCGATCTGGATCTTTCCTTGGCTTTGCTGGATCTTTCGTTCCTGGACCTCCTGTCCTGGGTATGGCTGTGGCTTCGGTGTACTTTTGAGTGGGAGCTTCCCCTGGAAGGCTCGGGAAAAGGCATCTCAGTCCTCCTTTTGGCCAATTCACCAGACACATCCCATTCTGGGGTCATGGGGAAGTGGGACTCAATCACATTTGTGTTGCTATGCATGATGAAATTATCTCCTTTGTGTTCAATGATGAAGCAGCCCTCCCTGGGTGCCCTGGTAAGAGGATCGCAAAAGTCATACTCCCTCTCCCCCGGAATATCCAGGTGCGACCCATCCGAAGGATCTCCTTTGGACACTCGAGTCTTGCTATGGGACCGAGACTTCCCATGGGACTTGCGATGAGTCCTGCTCTTTTTACTTCTCCCGCTATGGTGGGCGGAGGAGCCCGCTTTACTCCGATGCGCCTTCTCTTCTTCAAGTTTCTTCATCAGGGCCGTGTGCCTCATGACGTTTTCCACGGTCAAGTCCGGATTAATGCGCCGAATGATTTCCATCTCCACTTCCCGCGGGATGGTGGTGGGCGTGTCCTCGTCCCGCAGGGGCCACTCCTCGGGAGGAAATTGCGCGGAGAAATTGGCCAGCTGTTTGGTCTTGTCTTTCTTAAAACTCAGCCGGAATAACTTCAGTCCAAATTTCTTGGACTGTTTTTCACTATCTTTAGGTTTTGAGAGAGTTTCTGTCTTATAGGAGAAATTTACAGTACTTTTGCTCTTTTCAGTGGGCGGCACCTGGCATAGCGAAGGGGGGCAGTAGGGGTCTTTGCAGTCCTTGGCGGACTTCCTCTGCAAAGTGGACGCGTGCATGCTGTGCAGCTCCTCTCGGCAGCAATGGCACGAGTCGCAGTGGTTTCTGGGCAATGTTCTCTCCCTGACACAGCCCGAGGCAGAGGGCGTGATGGTCCCGGGTTGCGGGGAGGTACACTGAGACCTGTCAGGTATCCTCTCGTCCAAATGGTACCATTTGCTGTTAGTTCTTATGAGGGAAGGAGTTATGAAATAAGTCTGTGGGGTCACGATGAAATAGCCCTCCGGAGTAGGATAGATTTTCCTCTCCCGCACCAGCGTGTTCAGCGTGTGCCGCAGGATTTCTTGACTAGGGGTTGGAACACCTGAGGCCAAAACAACACAGAAAACAAAGAACCACACACTCATGAGCATAAAACAACATGTTGTAGATTTCTGATTTCCAGACTCTCATTGGTCTGCCAAGCTTTAAAGTGTTGCATGCGAGTGAGCAGCAGAGCCTGCCCTGGTTGCCTTTGATAACCCCAATGACTACTGCTATCAAGAGAAAGAGAGAATGTCACAGCCAGGCAGAGGGGCAGGTCGTTAGCCTTGTGGTGCGGGTGCTCATATCAGCAACTGGATGTAATGCCCAGCTCATGTCTCCTGATTCCCGCTCCTGCAGATCCTGGGAGGCAGTGGTGATGGCTCAAGTAATTGGGCCCCTATTACCCACATGAAAGACCTCAACTGAGATCCATGCTTCCAGCTTTAGCCCTGGCAGGGGGACAATGCAGACATGGCGGAGTGAGTGGGTAGAGCTCTCTCTTTGTGCCCTGGGCTTCTCTGCCTCTCAGACAAACAAACAAGCAAGCAAGCTAGGAAGAGAGAGTTAGATTGCTACTTTTATTCCATAATCTTTACTGAACTAAATCATGGAAGAGAGCAAGCGGGAGAAAAATATGATATAAATGTATAGATTTAAAAAAAAATTTAGGAACAGCAATTACAGAAGCATGGTTAAAATACCTACCTTGGTCTTGAAAACCAACTCTAATATATAGAGGTGCTTTAAAAAGTTCATGGAAAAATGAAAGCAAATGATATGTTTATTTAGGGGCAAACATTATTAATACATAAACGGCCTTCTCACAATATATTTTATGCATAAAATTTTTGAAGTACCTTCATATACAGAGGCTATCATATTGGAGACACTCCAAACATTTATTTGTTTTAAAGAGTAAATATGCCGAATACACTTAAAGGTATAGATTATTTACAAGGGCACCTAGATGATCATTGTTAATGATGAACGTCCTGATTTTGAAATCTTTATCCTCAATTTTGAAAATGGTAAAATTAAGGTGGGAATTTTCTCCTTTATATTATGGGTCAGTTTGGCATAAGATGGAGGTAGGTTTTTAATTTTCTAACCGGACAGCTTAATAAACATACTAGTGAAAGCTTAGACATTCTACATCTGTTTGATCACTAAGTTCAAAATTCCCATATATGCTAGAATAGAAACACCAGGAGAAATGATAGGAACTTTCTTGTACAAAGCCTGATATTGTTTTCAAAGGGTTTACAGGCTTTGTAGAAGCTTGATATTTTTTCTCTACCTATGAGACAGAAATAAGAATATAAATTCTTAAAAGAGGAGAAAATTTCCAAGTTTTAGCCAGTTTACAAAATTGCTTTGTTATTTTCCGTTTTTAGTGCCTGGTACATCAAAAAGTGATAATAATTACAAACTGATACGAATGACTTAATTTGGAAATAGGGCAAGTTAAATTGATAGAAAATTGCCCATACTCAGCTATGGCTGACCCACAAAAATGGCAATTTGATGTGGTTGGACCTAATATAATTAAGTTTGGGTAATGAGGCGGCTGGAAGCTGGGGTCCCAGGGCCAAACTGCTGGACTGAAATTCCAGTGCCAGCACTGCTACCTGATGTCACTCACTAAACTGTGCCAAGCCCCCTATCTCTGCATAGAAATCTAATCCTAGGAACCCATCCTTCGTGGAATGACTTTACTTGGAAATAGGATTCTTACAGGCATAGGCAAGGTTAAACCAAAGTCGTCAGAGTGGGGCATAGAACAGCAGGACTGAGTTCTGGGCACGGAGATCTATGCAGAGAGAGAATGTGAAGAGACACAGAGAGATGGACAGAAGCCTGGAACAGATCTCTCCCTCACATCCCTGGAAGGGACCACTCAGCCCAGGGGAAATCTGGATCGGGAGCTCTGGCCTTCAGAACTGTGACACATCCATTTCTGGTGTTTAGGACGGCTCTGCTTCATTACAGTAGCTCTATGTTTGGGATCCCCTTATATATCCTGACTAGGTCCCTGTCAATTGTCATCACAATGTGAACAATATTCATACCTACCTTCATAGGCCATTGTAAGTTTAAATAAATTCAGTTGTATGGGAAGCAAGACCTGATACACACAGAGGGCTCAGTAAAATTAACTGTCAGTCACTCTCACTTTGCATCAGAACCCAGAATCACTGTTAGCAACCTAGGACAACTGGGTTGAGTTGTTTGCTTTTGGCTTCGCCAGGACTTGCAAAATATGAAAGTAGGAAGAGAAGCCATTTAAAAAGGTCGAGAGGGGCTGGTGTCATGGCACAGCAGCCTGTGAAGCCAGTATCTCATATGAGCTCAAGTTCAAGTTTCAGTTGCTCCACTTCCAATCCTTCTCTCTCCTGAGAAAGAAGTAGAAGATGGTTCAAGTGCTTGGGTCCTTGCTATTCATGTGGGAGATCCAGATAGGGCTTCAGGCTCCTGGCTTGGACCTGCTCCGGCCCTGGCCATTGCAGCTATTTCAGAAGTGAAACAGCAGATGGAATATCTCTGACTGCCATTCAAATCTTAAAATAAATAAATCTTTAAAAATAAAGCCTGGAATTCTCATTTATTGTCACACACATACACATACACGCACACACCACACCTATCTGTGTCATCCACTTCAGAAGACATCCTAGGTGAGCAAGGAGAAAAAAGGTAACATGGCTTACAGATCATGCATTGGTTCATTAAATCATTTAAATCCTATACAGAATGTTTTCTTGTGGGTTAATACTCCACTCTTAATAAGTACATACTGGTCTTCACATGAATGCTTTCAAGACTGTTCTAATAATAAAATCTGCTTTCAAGTTTTTGAATATTTCCTGTACAAAATAGAAATGCATTTCAGCTGCATGAATGATAGAATGTCAACCACATGCATGTGATTCTTCAGCACCATCATACAACAAAAGCTTCTTGCCCATAGGATGATAAATGTCCCAGAGAGCTCATGCCCTGCCCCCCCCTAAAAACCAGGACCCTCTGCTGAATAATTTCAAGGTGCATCACTCACAAAGCACACAGCCCTTTAGGTTAGGATACACAATCTCCACTGAAGTTTTATAGTTGATGTCCATTGTCCACATGGGGCACAGCAAGCTGAAAACCCAAGGGATCTTTCTAAAAGTTCACAGATTATGAAAAAAATGGATTTCAACATGTTTTGCAATCAAGTTTAACTTATCATTAACCTCTATTTTCCATAAACTTTTTGAACTCCTTCATATCTTAATGAATGGCACACTTTCAACTAACATTCTTATGGAAAGAGTCTTTAAAAAAAAATCATAAAGTTCATTGATAAGAATCCATGATGGAGTTGTTAATTATGGCTACTAACAAAAAAATCTTAGGTATGATCATAAATCCAGCCCTTACTATAAAACAAAAATTTAATTATGTTACAGACTTTGCTGATAGGAGCCCTTCCAGAGATTGATCTGAAAAAACTCCTGACACTATACCCAGAACTACAACGCAGCCCCATACTTACCATTAGCAATGATTCTTCTCTGTTTTCAAACGAAGAGATAAGACAGAGATTCCACAGATAATTGCTTCTAAGCTTTCTATGTCTCAGATCTGCTGATATATCAATCAAATAAGGTTTGGTTTGGGAAAACAACCTGGAAAAGTTCTTCATTCTCTCTCTTATTCATTTTCCATTCCTCCTTCAAAGATTTAATGGAAAGTTGTGGGGTTTATGCTTATTTTATTATTAAGCTCCAGCAGAATGCCTGAAATGTTCAGTTGTCTCAGACATCCATGTAGCCAACAGAAAACTGCAGGTGAATGTGAAAAGGTGATGTTGTACTCTATCTTTGCATATCCATCACTCCGGATTCTGCCTGATGTTTACTTTGGTTTGGATTTTGAGTGCTTAAAGAACAAAGATAAACTCATCCTAACTCAGCTAAAACCTGACCTCACTCATTTTCTATACCTTTCCATCTTCTAAAGTAAAAGTAGATATTAAAAAATACCATATTGGAGTCTGGTGCAGTGGCTCAGTGCCTAAATCCTCGCCTTGCATGCATCAGCATCCCAAATGGATGTCCCAGCTGCTCCACTTTCCATCCAGCTCCCTGCTTGTGGCCTGGGAAAGCAGTAGAAGATGGCCCAAAGCCTTGGGATTCTACACACGGGAGACCTGCAAGAAGCTCCTGGCTCCTGGTTTTGGATCAGCTCAGCTCCAACTGTTGCAGCCACTTGGGTATGGTTATCTGCCCTTCTCTCTTTAAATCTGCCTTTTAAAAATATTTGTTAAAAAAAATATCACAGTGATGCTACTCCGAACTCTCTGCTTTAACCCTGAAGCCTAGGTAGACGGCTGGAGTGCAGAGCACAGGTTTTCTTTTTGCATGTTTAACATTTTAGATGGAAGCATTTATTGGGCTTGCTGAGATTCTTTGTATTTGTGAAGAGTGCTGGCCCAGGGAGAACTTAGTAAGAACAGATGTAAGGAAATGAGGTAGAGACAGAACACAGTGGACATGATATTAGCCTTCCCCAGCAAACGCTGAAGTCAACCTCAATACCACATCAAGCCTTCTTGGTCTAACACTATTTCCTCTGTGGCCCAGCCTTCCTCCCAGGAAGGCCCACCTGGGACAGTTTAACCAGTAGTAGTCCATAAGCACTGACGATGGGCGAAAGGATGATTTGGTGTTTAGAAATCCAAGAGAAAAGTGCTTATTCTTTTTAACTAAAAAAAAATTTTTTGAATCTGCAATGGACCCTGGCATATGAAAATTGTTGATTGCTTTTCCCAAATTCAACCTATATGAAAAGGTGATAAAATATTTAAGTTTTGGTATATCAGTCATTTTTACTAAAAAGATCTTTCACTAAAAACTTTGTTTAGAATATGAATGTCCAAAACAGTAACAAAGATCAAAGTCTATCCTATTTGTAACATATGCAATTAATAGGATAATTCAAATCTTTTAATACTTACGACTAAAATTTTATTTCTAAAAATAAGATTCGAAGTAAGTAAATAGTCCTATTTTTTTCAGAAACAAAATAAATTTAATACTTAAGGCCCTCCAAAGTTTTAGAATTGTCATTGAAAACATATTTTTCAAATAGAATCTAAGCAATTCTAAGAGAGAGGGAGAGACAAAAAGATCCTACATCTGCTGGTTCGATCCCCAAAGAGTTGCAACTGACAGAGCTGACCCACTCCGAAGCTGGGAGCCAGGAGCTTCTTCCAGATCACCCCTGTGGATTCAGGGACCATGACTTTGGGCCATGCTCCGCTACTTTCTCACACCATTAGCAAGGAGTTGGATCAGAAGTGGAGCAGCTGGGACACAAACCAGTGCCCACCTGGGACGCCAGTACTGCACCTGAGAGAATCAGCCTGCACCAGCCCCAGCAGTGTTAAATTTCATAAAGTGTTTTGTTCTGATGTAGCTTAAGTGAACAAAAATGACAAAAAAAAAAAAAAATCAAAAGAAGGAAAGAAAAGAAAAGCACAAAAGAAAGGAAAAAAGGCAGGATAGAAACAAATCTGTCAGTGAAATAATATTTGACACTACTTTGAATAAACTTTCATTTTTAGATTTGTGTGTGTATAAGTCAGAGAGTTGCAGAGAAAAAGGGAGAGAAAGAGAGTTCTACTATCCACTGGTTCACTCCCCAGGTGGTTGCTATGGCCAAAGCTGGGCTGGACTGAAGCCAGGATCTAGGAACTTCTTCCAGGTGTACTGCATAGGTGTAGAAGTCCAAGGATTTGGGCCATTCTCTGCTCTTTCACCAACAAGCAGATGGATGGGAAATGAGCAGCTGGGACACGAACCAGCATCCATATGGGATACCAGCAACACGTGAGGAGAATTAAAATGTAATTTTAAAAGTTTATTTATTTGTGAGACAGAGAAACACAGGACAAGGAGCTTCCATCCACGGGCTTATTCACAAAATGCCTGCAATGACTCAAGCTAGGTAAGGCCGAAGCCAGGAGCTGAAAACTCAAATCTAGACCTCCCATGTGATTACTTGGGCCATTACCACTGCTTCTTGAAGTGCACATAAGCAGGAAGCTGGGACTGAGAACAGCTGGAACTGGAATCCAGGCATTCTGTTACAGAATGCACGTGTCTTGACTGCCATCTTGATCGCTCAGACCAATCTCTGCCCTGGAATTTTGAATAACTGCCATCATGTTCTAGACCATTAAACTTTTTCCATAAAGTGCCGGATAACTGGTACTTCAGGCTTTGTGAGTCATGTGATCTAATTATTTAGCTTTGCCACTTTGGTATCAGCAAAGACAACATGTAAATAAATTGGACATGGCTGTGTCCAATTAAATTTTATCTACAACATAGGTGGGGACCACACTGGACCTACGGGCCTAGATTCATCTTTGTGAATAAAGATGGATAAATCAAGTTGAGTGTGATCCTCTCAGTCCTTCTGAAAGCCAGGCCTTGGGATTTAAACTCACTCACTATAAAAACTAGCAAAGCCATTATTCTTTTAAGTACAAATGATCCACGGATTTCTCTACAATGAATTCCAACTTACTGATATTATTCTCAGCTGCTTGGCAGTGATGAACATTTTACTGTTACAAACAGGATCTGTGTTCTTTCCATTCTTTATAACTCAGTAACGGGAGGTATGGGACCAATTTTGGAAAACTGTGATCTCTCATGAAGCTCTAGGAGAATATAAGAGTTTTAAAAGCTGTGGGGTTGTTTTAGGTCACAAGTGGCTACACAGGTAGAGGGCTAAAAGAAGGGCCTTCCTTCTGCAAGAATGCTACACCTGTGAGCAGTGCGTCTTGCCTCTCACCTGGTACCCTGCTTAAAGCAAAGGTCTTGCTAACTTCCATTAACAGAAAGAGACCCACAATCACATAGGGAAGAAAATTTAGAAGTAATAAAATGGTACACAATCCAATCCAGAGATAATGAAATATCACACAAACTTAAATTACAGGTTGCCAGGATGGATTCACTTTGGAGTTTATGAGTAGTACATGTAAAATCAAAACTCAGTAGTTAGCAAACTGAAAAAGGAGGAAAAATAACTAGGAAAGAAACGTATAGTTTCTTTGGAGACGAAGAAAAAGTAAGAAGATCCAGTATGGTAGATTAAATCACCACTGAGCTTAGAATTAGCTCTTCCACACTTGCCACATGGGGGAGCGCACCTCTCTATATCGACTTTGCATTTTACCAGTTTGTCTTGGCAATCACCATGTAAAGGGTTGTGACATGAACAGAGGATTGAAGAGCCTTTGTGCAATGAGCTTGTACTCTTACACCTCTTTGTGAGTGGGTTGGGCTCTCTTTCTTCCCCTTTCCAAAGACAAGCCAGGGTTCAAGTGCAACAAATCCTGCCTGGACCAGCCAACTCCCATGGAATCCACAGACATTTACACTAAAAATGAACAGACATGTGCTTATCCTGATGTTCTGTGTTGGTCTGTTCCCCAGCATTTTTGTTTCAGCAACAAATGATACAATCAAGAGCTCATATTTAACAAAGATCTCTTCAACGTGAAATAAAAACTATAGCACATGTTTGCTTTAAATCCAGGAAAGGGCTGTCATACCAACCTGGCAACCATGTGGCCTATTAATGTATTCAATTTGACCTGCAACTTTCTGGCATACATACGTTAAAGGATACACACAGAGACACACAAAGCCAATATTTAAGGAAAGCTAGAGATTTCACATAAAACTCCATTTCTAGATTTTCTTTAAAAATCAGATTTGATCACTCTGGCAGGAGTCTACATCTGGAGGGCGTATGACAACACACCGGATGGGGCTGAGCATGGCCTGCCTCTCACAATGGATGTGCATTCTTTAGCTTATCTCCGTTCTTAACATCTTCTAACACTGGAAACATCAAATGTCATTCATAGGAGCAGCTGGGCTGCTGTCTTCTTTCTACAATACTTAAGACAAAAGCAAACAGTTGTTTTTATTTTCTTAATAAAATCGTAACTAGTTTATTGAATTTAAAAAGCACTTATCAAGTCATGAAACAACATGCAAGATATGCTTATTTCTGATACTACATTTACAAAAGTTCAAGGCCTTAGGACCAAAACATTCAGTTATTCTTCATTAGTCCATTGACCCATCATGTCCATATACTAAGAAGGTTGAGTTGCAAAGGTTTAATGGAATCCCTGTCATTTTTGCTGGACTCTTCATGGATTCTAATTTAATCTCGTTCTCTGAATGCCAAAGGAAAAGCTCTGACAGGGGCTTGCACTGCAGTGCAGAGGATTAAGGCACTTCATGTGACAGTGGCATCCCACTCCACAGTGCTGGTTTAAGTTCCAGCTGCTCTCCCTATGACTCAGCTTTTGGCTACCATGCCTAGGAAGGCAGCAAATGACACCCCAGGTAGTTGGGGGTCCCTGCCACCCAAGTAGGAAACACACATGGAGTTACAGGACCCTGGCTTCCACCTGACACAGGCCTGGCTGTTGCAGTCATTTGGGTAACAAGTCTGCAGGCTAAAGATCTCTGTGTCATTCTAACTTTTGAATAAATAAATAAAATCTTAGAAAAAAATGTGTGTGGGGGTGGAGGTATTACAGTCAAAACAGTTTTTGTGCCCCACATATCACAGGTGCCTTGATTTTTATTTACAAAAGAAAATTTCTGATTCATTTTGGGAAAGAACTTTTTCTTACTATATTTCAACATGGGAAGAACAGTCTGTGTGGTGTCCTGTAGCAACCAGAAGACACATCCATCTGGCAAGTGCTACGTTCTTTTCTCATTACCTGGGAAGCATGTTGTCAGGTGTTCCATCAGTGCCTCTTGGGTGACAGGTTTTCTTGCCGAGTTCATTGCTGAGATGGCCAAGCAAAGGATTTCCCCAAGTGGAATAAACTGAGATTGACTGATGGGAGACATACTGATTGGTGATACATCACCTGCAGAAAGACAATTTTCAAGTGAGTGGTTCATTAGAAGACCCAGTCATTTGTCCAACACACCGTCACACATGCACGCCCCTCCCGTGACTTTCATCCAGCCCTTATATTACAAACACAATCAGCTTTGAACACAAGTGGGTGATAGCCACAGGCAATCCACTCAGGTGAAAAGACCTCCACATATAGTGGGAGCGCCTCCTGCTGTGACAAATACCACTTTCCTTTAAACCTGACCTCTCATTTAAATAGACACAGTCCTGAAAGTCTTGCAACAACAAAGCTTTGAAAAAGTGATTTCTGTTTGCATTAACTTAGTGCTGATTATTTAATAACTGCCATTTATGTCTCAACAAATGCATATCTGGTTACTTGATGATTCATTCATTCAAATATTGAGTGCCTTTATGTGTCAGGCTTCTACTGGTGGATTGGGAGCTCCAGAGTGAAGGCAAGGATGCTCCCTTCCCCCAAACATATCTGTCTTCACAAATTTCCTATTTAAGTGAAGGAGACTGACAAGTAGGTCCAGGTTCAGTGTTGTGATAGGTGCACCAGACAAGCTTAGCTAATCAACTCCTAGCAGAGAGGAGAGGACATTGCAACAACACCCCTTGGGAGTGAGGGTGGACCTTGGAAGCAGGAGGCTATGATGCTTTCTCCAAGGACATGCATTCTGAATCAAGTGCATATGAGTGTGTCTGGCAGAGAGGAGATGGAGGAGGCACCAGAAGCAGCAGCACCTGCAAGCAGCTGTAGGTGGGGAGCAGTGGAGCAGTGGAGCAGTGGCACAAGTATGTTGAGACAATGGAGAGGAAAGAGCAGAATGCTCAAAGGCATTGATTCTAGGCGGTGTGATGAGCCTTGGAAGGATTTCACCAAATGACAAAGGCAGAGGCAAATCTCAAAAGGATGACTACAGTGGCATCAGGAATAACCTGGAGGGCAGAAGAGGGTAGATCATAATTCATCAGGACACTGGTCTCCTGGCACAGGTCTGTTCCCTGAACAGACCAACGGAGAAAGGGAGGCTGAAAAGATGCCTTTGGAAGGCTCATAAATGGTGACTCTTGAAAAGGGGTCAATTCATAATGCAAATATCTATCTTCATTTTAAAATATTTATACCAAAGTACAACGATTGTTATGCTCCAGGGATCCTTAGAACTTCCTAGGTTTTCTGGGGTGGTGTTCCTCCCAGCAGAGGGAAGGGCTGAGAGGACAGAAAAGTCTGTTCATGACCCCCCAAGTGATTTGTGTTTCAACCTTTGTTCTGTATGATTTTACTAATAGAGTGACCCTAGAGAAGGAATAAGAACTCAGAACACAGTATGATTTCTGTGAACTTCTATTACTGTTTTCTGCAGGTGCCCATATTATCTCTTCTTTTTTTGTTGTTGTTTCTGAAACACAACTGCTCCTTTGTAGAAGCCACCACACCAGCGTAGATTATTAATAATAATAAATTTAAAATATCAAGAACCAGAAATTGGACCAACTTAGAATCTACCAACTCCTGGGGGATAAAGGTTATGAGTATCCCGAGGAGACATTCTCCCAATGATTGGTGAGGTAGCCTCTGGCAGAAGTTACCTTGTGGGACTTAGGGCTGGTACTGCGGGCAAGGTTCGCTGCCAGATAAAGCTCAGCGCACATAGGTGACACCAAAAGGACATAATGATATAGGCTGGGATAGCATGTTGGTGGGAAAGTTTGCTATTGTTAGAAAAGTGTATATATAAGTCTTAGAAAAAAAATTCTGGTATATCCTTTATTCAAACAAAATCTATTCCAAAATGTAATGGTCACAATGACCTAGTGCTGGTGGCAGCAGAAGTCACCTACTTTATTTCTCCTGCCTGCAGGGGTCCCAATAGGTTGGCCACACTCTTAGATATCAGAGTGTAGATCTGTCTCTCTCACTCCACCACCCCAACAGAGAGGCATCAAGACTAGCTTTCTTGTTAATTTTCAGGCCTGGCCATGTGGACCTCAAAATCTCCTGTCAAAAGTCAGAAGAGAAGGAAGGTAGGATTCTGACAAACAAGGAACCCAAAGTTGACTCTGGGGTTATTGTGGTCTGGATGCAGTTTGAGTGTGTTGCCTAAGGGTTCGTGTGCTTGCTGGAAGCTTGGTTCCCAGAGTGGAGATGCTGGAAGGTGCTATGGACCTTTAAGAAGTGGAGCGCTGGGCCCGGTGCAGTAGTCTAATGGCTAAAGTCCCCTCCTTGAAAGTGCTAGGATCCTATATGGGCACTGGTTCTAATCCCAGCAACCCTGTTTCCTATCCGGCTCCCTGCTTGTGGCCTGGGAAAGCAGTACAGGACAGCCCAAAGTCTTGGGACCCTGCACCCACGTGGGAGACCTGGAAGAGGTTTTGAGCTCCTGGCTTCAGATCAGCGCAGCTCCAGCTTGGGGAGAGAATTAGTGAATGGAAGATCTCCTCCTCTCTGTCTATCTAACTTTCCAATCAAAATAAAATAAATCTTAAAAAAAAAAGTGGAGCCCTGGTAAGTGTTAAGCAAGTCACCGAGGGCATGTCCTTGGAAGGAACTGATGTGTTCTCACAGAATCCAGGTTACAGCTCTCAGCGAGCTGCTATGAAAGAGCAAGCCTGGCTTCTCTTTCTCTGCTTTCCTCTCTTGCCAGGACCTCTCCCATGAAGGCACCTGCCATGATGCCCTCACCATCCACCAAAACGACCGGTCTCGGTGGACATGCACCGTTCACATCTGAGAGAGAAAATGAACTTTATATAAGTACTCAGCCTCAAGTCTTCTGGTATTTCAATGGAAAAAAAAAGATGAATACAAATACCATTTGACTTCTAAAGCTTGTCTATCAAAAGTAAAAACTTCTCAGAAGACTAAAGGTGCATTACTAAAGGTGATTTCAAAATTCAATGGTGGGGGGTATGTTATAAAGCTGTAAGTTAAGCCACTGCCTAAAGCACTAGCATCCCAAATGGATGCCTGTGCAAGTCCCAGCTACTCCCATTCCAGCTCCTTGCTGTGTGCTTGGGGAATGTCCCAAGTGCTTGAAATGCTGCACCTATCTGGAAGACCCAGAATAAGCTCCTGGATCCTGGTTTCAGCTTGGCCGTTATGGACATTTAAGGAATAAAACTGTGCATGCAGAAGATATTCATTCTCTCTCTCTCTCCTTCTTTACCCCTCCCTCCCTCTCCTATGTAATTCTGCCTTTCAGATAAATATTCAAAAAAATTTACTTCATATCATGCATGCACTTCTGCTTATCTTAATTTCACTGCCATCTTCTTAGTTAATTTCTTTGTGTTTACTGTAGTCAGCTGTAGGAGCAGCAGATTTAGCGGGTATGAACTGCATTTGTTTGGGAAAAAAATGTATCATAATAATGTATCACAATAATAAGCACGGGCAGCAACTCTGACTTGAGATGTAGAACAAACAGAATTTGGATGTTCTAAATAACCACCCTTACATCATCTTGTTTTTACATTGCATACACTAAATGAAATGACATTCTATCCCCTTCCCACACCCAACCTCATCAGCAATCCTGTCTATGCTTCTAAGATCAATTCCCTCAACTCCATCTCCAGCGCCTCCGTCTCACTCCTCACCTGTCCAATGTCATGGTCTGTCTCAGCCTTCCCTTCTGCCCAAGGTACTCGCTCCTCCATGCAGCAACCATGCTCCTCTTAGGGAATGCACATGATTCAGTACCTCCTTGAACAGAATTGTACAGCACCTACAGGAAATCTGAAAGCCTTACCAGTCCTAAGTGGGCCCAAAGGTTCTGAGCCTGCCCATGCATCTCCTGCCCCTGTCTACTCCCCACTCTCCATGCTCACTACTTCCTCTGCTCTCCGAACATGCCAAGCTTTCACTCAGCTCAGGCAGGATCTTTGTATTTTCGGAATGTTTGGCCTGGGATGTTCTTCGGGGGGCTCTTTTTGCATCTGGTTACTTCTCATCTTTTAGATCTCAATTCAGACATTGTCTCCTTGGGGAGCCCTGCCATGACCCCCGCCCCAATCCAATGCGGTTCCAATGTGACTTGAGTCATTGTCCTCATTCTCTGAATGTGAGTGAGCAAATAAGTGTGTGTGTGTGTGTGTGTGTGTGTGTGTGTGTGTGTGTGTGGTGTGTCCACTGCCTTGTTGTCTGTCTCACCCACTAGAATACAAGTTCCATGACTATAAAGAAACTGTGAACACCAATTCAGTCCTCATATCAGACATCCCATAAATGTTGAATGAATGAATAACCATTTAAAGCAGCGTAATCCAGAGAATTTCTCAGTGGTTTAAAGGACTGTGATTTCACTGATAGTTTTGCAAAACAAGCAAACAAAAAGAGACCAAATATATTTAACTATGCCATCTTTAAGACTACCCCAAAGAATTTCATGAACCAAAGTTCTTCTACACACAGTAGTTAGCACAGAAAAGTAATTACATATTAAGTGAGGTTTAAACCATGCATTTAAGATCTGTATTAAAGGAGTTGCAGGTAGCTCTCAACACAACACAATATATTATTCAGGCTTATCATCACTTTGTGGATGTTATATCTACTGACTTAATGAGCCAACTAATTCTTAAAGTGTACTACTGGAAAATTCTTCCAACTGGACTACATTCATCTTGTCAAAAAACACGACAATGGAAATGAATACAATAATCTACAAATGCCATCATATTTTACACAAACTGTAAGTTATAAGCTACTTGTCTATAATTTTTTCTATCATCAAAATTAGCTCTGAAGCCATTTATAAAGATAACTCATCTAAAAACTCAAAGGCATTTCATGGGTTCATAAAGTCTTTCTTATATTTCTATCATATTGTTCTTAAAAAAAAAAGGAGTAAACAGATTTCATTTCAGCTTAATTTTCTTACAGACATCCATTTAAGTGCAGTCCTCAGAGTATATTTGTCAACTCCAGGATCAAATCCAGGATCATTATGATAAACCAAGCATAGCATCTTGGACAGAGTAAGGATTCAAAAAATT